CTATGGGCTTCCCAGCTAATAAGGATCACTCGCAACCAGTGGTGTTTGAGTGTGCGCACGGCTTTAAAGCTTGAGTATATCTAGCGTCATTAAACAAGCGCAATTCACCATGCCTCGGCATGCACTTGACGCTAAAATGCTCGAAACGCTTTCGCAAAACAACTACCGAAGGGGCCGAAAATCATGCTGTGAAAAGCACCACTGTTATGCAAGCACATTCCCAGGCAAAGAGCAGAGAAATAAAAATGATGAAATGGAACGTACGAATACGATAGCTGCGCTTTCGGGATTCGGACCAGCGACTTTTCAAAATTCGAATAGTCGCAGGATAGCTCAATCCTTGAGAAATTACTGTTTGTGCCACTGACCCAATATTCATTACTACAAACTGAAAAAAATGTTTTTCAGCCCTAAATTCTGCTAGCTAAAAAGAGCTTCTTCCGCTTACACTGCTTTGCTGGCCCACTCCCCTCCTCATCCCAGCCTTCACTGTCATCAAAACTAAAGGTAAATAGAGAGAAGAATGCATTTTCTGACGAAACTGGCAGGACGAGCAAATGGGCAGAATCCCGTTCCCGACATATAAAATTAAACACACCGTTTCAACAGCTGCACTAGCCGGACAATAGGTGTACCCGCCGTTATCACATCGGCACCGGGCTGTTAGGGTCGATAGCATCTTTCGTTGTGGCGGAGACAACAAATCTGTATTGATTCTGAAATGATTCAATAAACGGACAGAATCAGTCATATCCTTAAGCAACGTTTTTGTGCATTTTTCTATCTTTCTCTACAAATATTATCAAAACCAAAGAGAACCACAGCAGCACTAACAGCAAAGGAGAAATGACTGGGACAATAAATGGAACTAAAACTTAAAACGCCTCCTGTTATATGTATATATATATATATATTCATATATATATATATATATATTCATACACATGATACACCACCGCATTGAAGTGGTTCGCAATGAAAATTCAAAAAGAACAGAATTCAGGAAACCGCCGCCCATTACTGATCACACAGCAGAGTAACGTAGTTGGCAGGAAGATGCAGAGATAAGGAAAATTTAAGCTTGCAAACTGCCGTGTTTTTTTTTTCAAATAGATCTTTGGTTCATCAAAGGAAAAACACCGTGCGTAAGCTCTCTTAAGCCGAAAGTCATACATCTAATTCATCGGAAATTGTTTCACCGACTCAGAAAAACCCACTCTTTTCGATAATCCCAGAAAAATAAGAAATGAATTAAGAAATAAGATCTGCGAAAATGAAAAAGTCTTACTGAAAAGTGAATTAACAAAAAGATTTTATATTAACACGTCAAAAATGTTTACTTCTGTGTGCTCAACGTAAAACCGCAATTGGCGGAAATTTTTGTTCAGTGAACTCAATTCCTATGTAGAAGTTTCACAGCTTGCACATGGAAAATCAAAAAAATGCATCAAAATAAACGCTTTTGTTATTAGACAACAAAGATTCGTTGGTGAAAATGGGCCTGTACCTGTAATTCATCACAGCTGCAGCAGCAAATTCCTGCAGTAAGCATACGTCTCGATTGCGCTTCTGCTCCGGCGGCTTCAAATGCATAGTGGTATGAGCAGTAATATCCAGTACATCAAGCCTGAGATCGAGTATCGCCGAAGGCAAATAATAAAGCTCATTGTAGCTTATGTCCAGATGCTTCAGGTTGACTAGTTCATCAATCTGTAAGGCGAAAAATGACCGCCAGTAGAGTAATATTTCACGAAACAGTGGAACCGGAGTTCTGTATCACGTCTCATTCATTCCCACGCAAGCGAATTTTTAAATTTTCCGGAGCCTTAAAAAAATCTGATTTTCCCGGGGCTCGTGGCTAATTGGTACTTCACAAATTAAATAGCGTCACCAAAGGGAGCATTCTAGTAATAATAAATGGCAACGCGCACCAGACTAGCCGGTGCGATCATGCGTTTTGTGCAATTCAGC